GCTGCTAACGCTATCCTCCATCTGCCTGCACGGACCAAACTCTATGGACTCGTTGGGTTCCGCAGGGAAACCTAAGATGCTCTCTGTCTGTCGGACCCGGTTCTTGACTGTGGTCTTTGAGGGCAGCTGCTGCGGTCCTTATTACCATCAAGCTGCTGATCGGACCTGCTAACAAGACCTGCTAAGCTGCTACCAAGACCACGCCGCTAACAGACCAGAACCACGATGTTGAAAGAACCTCATTGCTAACTGAATCACAATGTAGATGTATTTATTTTTCAACTTTGGCACCTTGTTTTTAGTATTTTATCAGTATTTTTAATATATATTTTAGTATGTTAGTAGTATTTTTTTGTGTGTTTTTAGTATTTTTGCTGCATGCTTTGATATTTATTGTTGTTGTTGTTGCTTTTTCCTGGCGAGTTGAGGCGGTTCTTCTTGTCCTAAACATTTTAATTGCATTGTTGACCTTGTGTTGATTTTGCATATGACAAATAAACCTAACCTGAACCTATCACCCACCTGAAGGTGAAGGCAGAGCATTCATTCAACCTTTATTTATACAGGCTGATCCCATTGAACCTCGGGGACTCAATTACAAGAAAGACCTGAATTTTAACAAAGAGTGAAGACAACAGTGGACAACAACGACAACAATAGACAACAATAACAAAACAATAGAGCAACAATGGTTTTGCTTGGCTGCGCGTCTGTGTGTGTGTGTATCTCATGAACATCCAGTCAAAGTTTAATGAAACTCTCAGGAAGCTGTCACTGGATGAACATTTATAAGTGCATTACTTTTGGAGTCAGCTCAATTCAAGATGGCTGCCATAGCCAGCTGTTTTAAACAAACACAGAAGTATATAGACCTACAATTTGGTGTGGTTACCTTTCAATATTTAGCTGGTCAAGCTTGTCCTGAGCCTGGTTCTGATGGAGGTTTCTTCCTGTTAAAAGGGAGTTTTTCCTTCCACTGTTGCCTTTGTGCTTGCTCAGGATGGGAGACTGCAACAATGTGAAGATTCAACTTGTCTGCTGGCGTCCTTAGATAGAGAACTTTACTAATTGGCTTTTCTATGTATGTGAATGTTTCTGTAAAGTGCCCTGAGTTTGATGCTATATAAATAAACTGAATTGAATTGAACTGAAGTATTTAAAGTCAACTCTGTCTGTTAGCACAGTATCACGTGAACCACCAGACAGATTTTATTGAAATTTCCAGAAAGACATAACTAGGTGCAGATCTATAACTAAATAACTTTTGGGACCAATCATATTCAAGATGACCACCACAGCCAGCTGACTTTAGAAAAACAAACAATCCCTATAACGCGGTCAATTTTACAGATATTGTTTTTAAATTCAGTGTGGTAGCAGCTGAGTATAGTCCCTAATATATAATTTGAGCACAATGCATTGTACACCATCTTTGCTTTAAAACTTGGCAATAAATGTTGCATTCAAACCTGTGTGTCTGTTAACAAAATATCTCACAAATCACTGAACAGATTTCAATGAAAGTCTCAGAAAGTGTTCTTTGGAGTGAACCAAATTCAAGATGGCGGATACAACTAATCAACATCAAACTATATAAAAATGGCTATAATTCTGTGAATTTTATAGATATTTAGCTAAAACTGTGGTGGTAGATGGCAATCGTTCAAAACAAAGGTCATGTTGTAATATCACATTAGTTTGCAAAATGTTTTTGTTTAAAACACTAGCATGAAAGGTGGCGGGTGATATGCATTCCTTCAAGGAATGCTTTGCCTTTACTTTAGATCTGGTATTATGTAAATTGTTGTATGCATGCTGACAGTAAAGGCTGATGACTCCTAATCAACCACTAAATATTAAACCTTCACAGATTTTATATAACATAAAACAAATATATATATTTGCTTTGGAAAGTGTGTGCCGTCTTGTTAAATTTGAACAAATGTAAAGGTTGTATGAGCTGTTAATGTGATCACTGTCACTGGTCCCTTAGCATTTTTTACGGATGTTTTATTGTATTTTTTTAGTTATATAAATGTATTTTTCAGATTTTTCTTCTTCTTGGTGCCTTCTTCGCAGCCTCCACAGTGCCAATCTAAATTTAGCACAGGACAAAGCAACAAACTGTGCTGTAAACTGAGAGTGTCAAAACCAAAAACCAGTGGATGGATGATAAATGAGGACAAATCTATCGTGTGGCTTTAGTGTTTTGTTTCAACATCGTTTGTTGCCTCTTTGCACTGATTCTACAAGTCTGCGGCGCTCTGATTCCAAAAGCTATCCATAATTTGATTCGTTGGTGAAGAGCTTTATCTGTCATGTTGGTTCAGACTTTTTGCTGATATTCAGCTGGATTTAAATTCGAGGAAGTTTGGGTCATCAATCCATTCACCCTTTTATCCCTGGAAAATGTGAGTCATGTCAGGACACATGTTTTATAACAGAATAAAGAGGATCGCTCAGCAGAGATTTGTATTGACTGACTGTGAACTTCCTTCTGAGGACAAGTTGACCCAAACCGCCATTCACAACATATCAGACTCACGAATCTCTCTAAATAAAGATGGTGGTTCATTTATTGCCTTCTTTGTGTTAATCACAAATGCAAAGAATTTAATGAAAGATAAACGTTACAGTTTTCCACATCGTTTAGTCTTTTCCACCAATGACCTTTCGATTATTACATTTTTTTGTAATGAAGGGTTCGTGCATGGCTGTCCTACTATAAAACCACACTCCGTGTTCAGTTCAATTCATTTCAATTCAATTCAGTTTATCTATAAAGCACCAACTCACAACAGACATCCTCTCAGGGCACTGAACAGAAACATTCATATACACAAAAAGTAGGTTAACAACATTATTAATCTGGGGAGTAGACTGCTTTGAGTTTTTGAGTCAATCAGTTTCATGGGCAAATATAATTGAGTATCATAAGCGTAACAATGAAAATGTATCCCATGCTGTTTAATAACTTTACCTAATGGAAGCATATATAAATGAAAGAATATTGGTCCAAGCACTGAACCCTGAGGAACTCCATGACTAACTTTATAATGACTAGTTTTTGCCGTTAGATTGTTCATGCTCACACAGTTAAATCACACGGATATTCTCTTTTACAAGTAACAGTAATTAATGGTAACAACAAACCCTTGCTCTATATGTGTCACTTTTTTTTGTTTACTTTCAGCGTACATAAGTCACATGTGAGGCATAATAAAGGTGTGAAACAGCATAGTAACATTCTCTAAACTTAAGCCATAAAATCAAACTAAAGGCTATTATCTAAATGAAATGATGCAGTTTGAAAGGGTTTCCTACAGGAATCGTCCACATGGATTTATATGCAGTTCTAAAATGCGGGTCCACGCTCAATGTAAACAGAGCGCTCAGAATCTGCCAAAAATCACATGAAACCTTGAGTCACTTGATCAGCCACCAGGCTGGCAAAAGTTCGTTTAGGCGAACAATTACGGTGGAATTGAACAAGCGAAGAGCTTTGAATAAAATCATTTAAGTGGAAATATAAATTTGATGCTAAACGTAAAAGAAATGTGAAAGGTGGGGTAAGATGACATGAACTACATGAAGTTATGGTTGAACCTGACTATTTTGTATAAAGTAATAAAAGCTTTTTTTGATGTGTGATCATGTGGTATTTGTCATTTTTTTTATATAAAGCCAAGTTTGTTCAAGCCTTATAATGCTCAATAAATAATAGCAACCCCCCCCCCCCCAAAATTGCTTTGTTTTGATGCTTAAATATATATAAATAATAATTTATATTTATATA